CTAAGGGTGAGTTGCATCAAATCGCCGGTTATCGTAAAAGTTATAATAGGGTTACAAGTGCAAAAACATATTCTCACAGAGGTTTTATGTGTTTTTCGTTTTTACAATGGAAACATCTAAACCTGAATGTCACTAAAGTGTCAAGTTGGTGTCAAGAATGACATTTACGTAAATTAAAATGTTTGGAAATTCATGTTTCGCCGATTACATTTATGTATCATACGCATGGTATTTTATAGTGACATAAACTTTTTGCCCACGGAGATGGAGAAAATGGCACTCTTGAGAAAATAAACTAGTTTGGGCCATTATTGAAACTGTATTTACTTTACTACTCAAATATGTAGCGCCAAAAATGAAGCAATAAAATTATACAAATATAAATGCATCTTATTTATTTTCCATATTATAAATTGTCCTGTCAATGCATATTATAAATTGTCCTTTTATGGAGGACATTTTTTTAAATAAGAGAAAAGGGACAAGCGCTGTTGCTATGGCCTTAGACACTCGAAATTTGTCCAAACTGAATGTTTGGCCAAATTTCGAGTTCCATCTTGGAAATCCATTATTTCCGAGCACGCGAGACTTTATTCTTCTGGATTACGTATAGGATAATAGTAGAGATTTTCTTTTTCCATTACTTTTTCCATTATTTGTACTTTTGAAGATAAAAGCTTGTGACAGTTGACACTACCGAACTGACACTAACCGTAACGCTAACTATAACCGCCCAAAATCGGGCGGTTATGATTAGTGTCAAATATGACGTCATTTTGACCAGCGCAAAACTGGTGTAGCGAATATCATGAACATCCGCAGACGTAACCATCGGGAATGTGCTGGTTAAGGTTTATAGTTAGTTAATGTAACTCACCCTTAGTAAATTTTAAGGTTATTCCAAATATTACCGTTACAGATAATTTTAACTTTAACGGTAACCGGCGATATGGTGCAACCCACCCTAAGTTACCTAAGATTAAGTAATGTATAATCGTTGAAGTCTTTTGTATGTCAAGGCAACTTTCAAGATTACTATGTTAAAAAAATGCCGCTATTTAAAACTTAAATATTATTAAGTTGTAGTCATAATGTAACTGTAGTTATTACTAGCTTTTCCCGTGCGACTTTATCCGCATAAAATTATGAAAATTTTATTTTATTGTTTATAATAGCAAATGTCGAAATTACATGACAAACCTTGGCAATGTTGCTTCCTTGATATTGGCATCAACTTATGGTCTCTTTTCCGAATTAGGGTTTTTATCCAAAATATTTACCCCCTAAATTTAATAGCGTGAAAATATGTAGACGACATGACGTAAGTGTAGGGCTTTTTATTATATAAAGAATTATTTAAAAATATGCTGTAATTGCTGACATCTTAGGCAACAAAGAAATGTGTGTTTACGCTTTATTACAATAGTTATTATATCTTTATTTATAACGCAGTAAGATGCTTCAAGTAAATTTTAAGTATATTTATGTTACATTCCCATTACGAAGTTTATTACTGGCAAGTAAAAACGGCAACTCGGCGTTAGTATTATTTAAATAAATACGACCCATAATTTTATAGTTTAGCACCCCTGGACAATACCAACACAAGTCAATTAGTTCCCTTCGTATAAATCACGACGTGGGTGTGATATCGCGGCTGTTTTGTTTCTTTTCTTTAAGTCGTCAGACCTTTTAATTGCTTTTTGTTTTTCTTGTCAATAGTTTTGTTTCATGCAGACAAATTGGAACAACAAAAGCTTTTTTGTTTATAACTAGCTAGTTCCCGCGCGGCTTCATCCGCGTAAAATTATTAAAACTTTATTTTATTGTTTATGTTTGTCAATTGCAAATGTCAATATGGTTACCATAATAACCTTGCTTCCTTAATGTTGTCAGCTTGTAGTTTATGGAATCTTTCCCACATGAAGGTTTTTTTCTTAATTTATTTACTCCCTAAGTTTAATAGCGTGAAAATACATAGTCTAGTGTGTTGCAAGTGTAGGGCTTTCTAATAAAGAAAGAATTATTGAAATACGAGCTGTTGCCCGCGACTTCGTCCGCGTGGTATTCGAAAACATGCAAACTATATGAATTACAAAAAGTTACGTATCCCTCGGGAACCGGACATTTCTCGGGGATAAAGCTTATCCCATGTGTACTCCAGACTTTGTTTTATATCTGTGTCAAATTTCAATAAGATATGTTGAACCGTTGCAGAATGATCGAGTAAACATTAAAAAACTAAATTAATGAATCCCACGGGAACCGTAACGATTGCCGAGATAAAAAGTAGCCTATGTGTTCTTCCAGACTATGCTCTAAACCTGTGCCAAATTTCATGGAGATCCGTTCAGCCGTTTAGGCTACAAACGCTAACAAACATCCATCCATCCATCCATCTATCTATCCATCCATCCATCTAAACTTTCGCATTTATAATATTAGTAAGATAGTATGAAGTAAGATATGCTATGATTACGCTTTATTACATTAGTATAGATTTAAATTTAAAATTGAAAGACAAGTGACGATCGTTTTTACAAAGCAGTGTTCTAATTTGACAAGATTTGAATACAAATTAAGTCACGTGTTGCTTTTGTTTTTGTATGACTTTTTATGACGAATTGCCACAATCGATCACTAGTTATATAATTATTTAATGAACGTCAAATTATAATAACAAGTTGATATAATTAGGCTAAGATGACTCAATCAAAAAACTTCCGAAACACGTGTATCAAGTTTCAATTTTTATGACACTATTTATGGTTAGTAAGAAAAAATGTTTTTGTAATTCTCTACATAAACTATATGAGTTACTATATTGAAACATGATGAAATAATTACACTGGTATATTAGTACAAAATTCATAAATCGTAACATTACTAATGTACAATCTTTAAAGTGTTGTACTCTACCACCCCGTCAAATTCACAAAGAGGATTGCAAATATTTTAGAAAACAATTATCTATACTAACATTCCTATGATATTTTAATGACATTATAATGACATTCTTGAGCGCTGCTTACAATCTAACAGACGTCAAAATTTTCAATAACATTTGGAGTAGATAAGTTGTATACCCACGAAACATCCTCATAAGCAGAGAACAGATCATTGTTGCCAGTCTTTCCCAAATTATAATACAATAACCATAAAATCTCACCACTGGTCCAATCCGCTGAGGGACAACCATAAACCATAAACAAGAAAAAGAATAGAACAGGAGCACATGCGTAGCTTTATCGTTTTTTTATCAAAATCTACAGACTCTTGGTCCGTACTCTTTTTTCACAGTTTATATCTTTTTTTTCTTTTCTTTTTTTGTTGCGTACAGGTTTATCGTTTAAGACACTGTTACATGTTTAAATGTCGTTTTAATATTCGCCCTTTAGTCATTTTAGTCGCTAAATGAGAGTATTCACCAAAATCGACTCAACCGTTTTGATACTGCAAAAGCCATTGTCCTACTGTCAATCGGGTAATTATCAAACATTGAATTGTCATTTAATAATATCTCTGTTTGATATTTAAATGTTAACTGAACCTTTAGTATCCCACGCGTTACAACTAAATAATAAAATTAACATAATACATAAGTCATTACAATTACACCGTCTTATGTACTAATTGACATGTTAAAATGTCACTCTTGTGTTGATAAATGTACCGTAACGACATTCAATATCTTCTTATATACCTATTAATGATTATTATTATTTGTTAAATAAAATGCTCGAATACAACTGCAAATATACTTGTCACAAAAGCTTTGAGTAGAAGCAGGTGTTATCGGGCACAATACATGCATAACAAAAGATATACAGTGTTTGAAAAGTTCCACTAATTCTCTCACTAAGAAACTCTATACATGTAATGAAATTAGAATGTCTGTTTGTAAAATCAAAAGAAAAAATCCAGATTTCAGGAAGATGATGTATTTGGGTTGCTACCTATCTGTCCGCAAGTCGCGTTTGTTCCGGGTAATCTCCGAAACGGCTGGGCCAATTTAGACCGGACTTACATTGAAGGATAGCTGACATATACGGGCAGATTATAGGCTCCTTTTTATCTTAATATTGCGTGGACGAAGTCGCGGGCAACAGCTAGTTTTACATAGAATGCTATAAAACACCATAGATTAACTATTAACCAGAGGTGACAAATCTGACGTCGCACAGATTTTCTCGGACATTAGAAATTGAGTGCTGTAATACGATGTTATTTATGTGAGAACTAGATTTATGTTATAGGCATCTAATTATTTGAAAATAACTAAGTTATGTCAATCATTGGTTAAGTTTATAATAGAGTGAGATGTTAAGTTGTATAATATAGTCGTTAGATAAACTTCCTGTTTGTTAACATCCTGTATTAGATGTCGGCGTGCTCAATAATGTGTGTTTTAAATAGTAATAGTATACTTATCACTTATCAATAACTTAGTTATTAATAACCAGACGCACTTACATCATCCGTATTGATCGAATACTCAAAAATGTGAGTGTCTACCAGAGATCGTATTTCACTCCTCTTTCTCCACTTTTCATTCAAGAAAGGTTGGGAAAGAGGAAGAGTTGGTAAGGATAGGAAGCTCTTATGAAATCACCGACGTGTCGACATTTGCAAAAACAGAGGCATGCAAATGCGTTGTCTAGAACTCAATCAGCCGTTATCTCAGTCATCACTCCCTTCTTGATCATGTCACCTTTTACGCAATCTATCCATCTCTTTCTAGGTCTACGTCTACCAGTGTATTTGATTTTACATTTATTAAACTAGCGCTAACACGATCCCGCCTAAAGAGAGTGATGTTCGAAAAATGGTACGCGCTTGCTTAATAAGTAGCCGTTTACTCTTCTTTTGAAGGCCCCGTGTCATATTTGGACGGAAAAACTGACGCCGGCAACTTGTTCCAATCCCTTGCGGTAGGAATAATGTAATTATAATAATCATAACTATTTTAAACATTAATTGAGAGTATTGTAACTTTGCAGCGACGCGAGAAGCGGCATTCACGTATGCGATAACATCGGCGGGTGTCACACACGCGTTGAGCGCGGCGTGTGCTCGCGGCGATCTACCCGCTTGCCACTGTAACTCCAACAGGTAAAGATTTATTGTAAACACCTATCTATACTAATATAATAAAGAGTAAACACACACTACTTTGTGTAGGATGTCAGCAATCACAGCATTTTTTGAATAATAAAATTCCCTTATTTACGACACGCTTTAGGATATTTATTTTCACGTTATTAAACTTAGGGGATAAATAAATTGCAAAAAACCTTCATGTAGGAAAGGGAACATAAACTACAAGCTGCCAACATCAAGAAAGCAAGATCGCCATAGTCTGTCATCATATCATGCCATTTTGACATTTGCAATTGATAACTTGACAAATGTAAACCATGAAATATAATTTTCATAATTCCATGCGGATGAAGCCGCACGGGAACAGCTAGTAATATTATAAAGAGGAAAGATTTGTATTTGTATGTATTCGATTCACGTAAAAACTACTATGCCGATATTAAAAATTCTTTCACCATTAGAAACGTAATTTCTGTGAGTAATATAGGCTACAATTTTTTATTATTTCATAATTTCATGCGATAGAAGTTGCGGGCAACAGTTAATCTAATTGACAATTTTGTTTTAGGAGAAGAATGACAGGCCCATCGGAACAGTTCCAGTGGGGAGGCTGTGGGGAAGCGGCGTACGGCGCGCGCTTCGCTCGACGATTCCTGGACGCCAGAGAACTGGAGTCCGACGCAAGAAGTCTTATGAACCTGCACAACAATAGAGTCGGCAGGAAGGTGAGCGAGGTAGATGTCATTGCACACGTGAGAGAGAGACAGACTGTGTGTGTCAATAAGTGCTTCAAATAAACACGAAATTTAATTCTAGTAATGTAATGATGTTATAGTCATAAATAGTCGGAGATGTGGCTATAAGTTTTGACTTCAATGATATTTTTATTAACTAATATTGTTGTTTCACTTTTTGTCAAATAAATATTAGAGACGACAACAATTTTGTTAAGGTTCTATTGCAGTCAAAACCTACAATTAGATTGTCACACTCGTTTCAAAAATAAAATTGTACACTATGTTATCTGTTCTCAAAAACGTTCGAATAGAAAATCACAGCAGTGGAAACCCAGCATTCATATAAAAGACATAAACGGGAGTTACAGAAATAAGACAAAATAACATGGAAGTACAAATGTATTAAAATCCCAGGCATTAAAGAAATTAAAGACGAATGCAGTTGCTTACAAATGGAATAACATTATCGTAATTGTACATTAAATGGTATACAAATAAGCAGTAATACGTCTGTTTACATGATTGTAGTGGAAAAGATCAGTAATTCTGGTGCAGATTTTATATCTGTTATTATAGCTTTATGCGAATGCAGTTTGGTGCAAACTTTAATCGAGATATGACTCAAAAATGACTTAGGACCTGTCCCACCACTGGCTGATAGAGGCTCAGATAGCTTAAAAATTACGTCACAGATAGAGTACCAAATACCGATATATTCATCACATCTATATACTATTATAATAAAGCGTAAACACACACTTCTTTGTTGCCTAAGATGTCAGTAATTACAGCATATTTTTGATTTTTTTTTGATAAAACGCCCTACACTTTCGTAATGCTTTAGGCTATATATTTTCACGCCAATAAACTTAGGAGCTAAATATTTTGGATATAAACCCTAATGTGGGAAAGAGACCATAACTTGCTGCCAAATTGAATCTGCAAGGTTGTCATCATGTCATGTCATTTTGACATTTGTAATTGATTATATGACAAATGTAAACAATAAAATAAAATTTTCATTATTTCATGCGGATGAAGCCCCACGGGAACAGCTAGTATTTAATACGTTCGATTGTTATCAGACAATTTACAAGAATTGTAAGACAGGCCCTAACTACGTAATTTTAAATTTGGAAGCGCCGATATCCTAATAGTTTTATGCGATTACATGGTCATAGGTTGCATTCGAACATAGATCTCTAACAAATTTCATCAAAATCTGTATAACAGTAGTGAAGTTACGTGGTAACGAATAACAAATTAAGGGCCTGTCCCACCAAAATGTAAATTGTCAGATAACAATCCAACGTATAAAACATTGGATTTTGGTACTCTACCTGACAGTGACGTCATTTTAAGCTATCTGAGCCTCTATCAGCTAGTGGTGGGACAGGCCCTTCATATTGTAAAGAACCCAATTGTAAAACAACTCACACCCATGCCTCTAAAACTATTGAAGTACCTCAACATTCAAGTATACACCTTAAAACAGCATCGTTTAAACCTCCTATCATTTCCTACGGTATTCCAATAAAAATACAAGCAAATTACAAGCTGCGTAAATAATTAATAAAGCCCCCGGGGTCTTTATTAACCGCGTAACTGCTGAGAATTTTTGTAACATCTTATTAAGCGAACGCAAAGTCGAATTAAAGTTTTGTTTTATAACTTGCGAATCTTCTTTTTTTTCGGTGGCTCAACACGCAACCGTTATCGTAAACAGATAAATGCACAGTCGTTTATTTAAAAAATGACGAAACATTAAAGACGTCATTTAGGTTTTTTTAACCAGTTTCATCGGATCGTTCGCTAATAAATAACAGTTATCGAACGTTATTTTGTATTAACGAATATTTTTGTTAGTTATTTTAAGTAGATATTTCAATTGAGTTTTGAATTCACTTTTGCAATTGTTAGTTTCATCGTTTACAGTTGTAATACAATAAAAACTTTGCGCACAAAATTGCGTGAATTAACGTAAATATGACACGGGTAAATTTATTTATTTAGGTATCCTACATCCATCTATACTAATGCAATAAAGAGGAAAGAGTTGTATTTTTGTTTGTATTGAAATAACTCAAAAACTACTGAGTCGATTTCAAAAATTCTTTCACCATTAAAAAGCTGTATTATCAATGAGTGTCATAAGCTTTTTTTAATTTCACGCAGACAAAGTCACGGGCATCAACTAGTACGCAATAAAACAAAAATGAATCGGTAAAAGAAAAGAGTGAATGCGTATTTATTAGGGTAGCGCGTACCATCTTTCGATCAAATCTTCACTCTCAGTCGGTGGGATCGTGGTCAAGCCGTAGCTTAAAAAACTTTAAAAAAAAAAGACAAATTGATAACTTCATTTGGGAAGTCGGTTAAAAAAATAACCTAACATATGAAGAATATGAGGTGCACAAAACTCAGCCAATAACAAAAATGCGTCAGAATCAACTTTTTTTCCAGATAGTAAAAGACCTAGTACGTCGAGAGTGTAAGTGCCACGGTGTGTCCGGTTCATGTGCGCTCCGGACTTGCTGGCGAGCGTTGCCGCCATTCCGGACAGTCGCCGCCGCACTCAGGGAGCGATACAGCCGCGCCAAGATGGTCACCCTACACCCACCGCCGGACACTAACGCACCGCACTCACATCTCGTTATACGAAGGTATACACGAACAGTTGTTACTAGTTGTTACTCGCGACACCGTCCGCGTGAAATTATTATGTGTTCTTCCAGGCTATTATCTTCATATTTGCCAAATTTAATTGAGATTCGTTTATCAGTTTAGGCTACAAACTCTAACGAACATCCATCTAAACTTTCACATTTATAATGTTAGTAAGATTAAAAAAAAAAGTAAATTGTATGTTTTCAAGTGGCGTCGGTAAAATTTTTTTGAAAGTAAACTATGCCAATCTTAGACGGAGATCTTACAATCTAGTGTTTATTAAATATTGCAAAATCATTTAATGCTTAGGGTAGGTTTAGAGCGATAAATCTACACTAAGAGCGCACATCTTTGACTAAACTATCGCATGTTGTGCGATTGTCAATTTTTTCGCAGCCTATTCAACTGTTTAGTTGCACAACTTAAAATCGAGTGTGCCCACCTCCATATAAGCTCATAGTAGCGAACGAAACTAAACGGTGTGCAATAATTTAATCAAAGATGAGCGCCCTCTTAAAGTATATACAAGTTATGAATAACCACAATTTCGGTGACCATCTTATAGCTTGAATTGAGGACTCAATACACTTTCTCAATAGTTCATCTCATAACTATTTATGTAATTTTGTAGAGCGCGACAAAGCGCAGGCGTGGGCCGTCAGCCTCGGAAGTCGGAGCTAGTATTTCTGGAGCCATCACCCTCATACTGCGAGCCTGATGCCGCGGCAGGCTCCTTCGGCACGCACGGACGACATTGTAACAGGACTTCTAGAGGTAATACTGACAGTTGGCACGTCGGGAACAAGAGTAATCTACTGCATGATACGCCAACTATAACACCGAATGTGTACTAAAGTATATAGTTAGCATAAAATAGCTTACTGTTATTTTTTAGTTATGACATTTAACCGGCCTTATTCCAGCAGTCGGCACAGTATTGACTTCCATAACCCAACGGCGGATCTAGGGGGGGGGGGGCTGAGCTGGTTGGTCAAGCTTGACAAAATATATTTACATATTTTGTCAAGCGCGTGACTTGACCACGACTATGTGACCCCTCCCTGGCGCCAAAGCTGGATCCGACCTTGCATACACCTCTATCATATCATATTTGAGTTCACTCCCTTATGACATATCCTTATTCACAATCCATTCATGCTTTCTTTGGTCTTCCTTTACCTTTGTCATTCTCTTTCAATCTAATATCCAAATATCTTTAGAAACATCGAGTAAAATAGTAAAATGGACAAAAATTACTTCTGGTTTCGTCAAACATTATCCGTACTTTTGAGACTTACTAAAGACGTTTCTACTAAAATAAATTTTACTTGTTCCAGGAGAAAACGGTTGTGAAACATTATGTTGCGGTCGCGGCTACAACACGATCCGCACAGTGGAGGAGACAAAGTGCCGCTGTCAGTTCCACTGGTGCTGCCGAGTGACGTGTGACAAGTGTGTCACTCGCACTGAGACACATGTCTGCAAATAGATATGTCAGACATTTATACACTCAGTTCTAACTGAACATTCAACCCGTAGAGAACTGAGCGTATACTGATGACTATTTTCATGTCTTGTACAAAATAACAAATAACGCCATCTAGCGTTGAAAAGCGTAAATAGTTAGTATACTACCGACATCTAGTGTATTTTATTTTTAAACCTGCGATGATATGCCAGCCTGACTAGAAACACAAAACACCTTATATTACAGAAAAAAAATACTAATTTCTTTGAATGAAAATAGTGATGTAATCAATAAACCTATTGCAGCGGCCCATATCGGGTTTTTTATATTTTTTATTATATTATATGGTGTGAAATATTTTGAATCTTTTGTACAGCTGTTTATTTTATTATCTAAAATGCATAGCATTATTTGTGTAGTGTTACATACATATAAGCAGTTTATATAAAAACATTTATATGAATATCTGCTCATACATATCGTGTGACTAAATTTTAATGCATTTCTAAATCACCATTACATTTAATATCTATAAAATATCAGTAGAATAACGATTTTACGCTTAATTTGTATACGTCCATTTTTAAATTGCCAGTTTTTAAAATGTTGCCATAGCGTAAGTTTAATTCACCTTTTTATATTTAAGTGCGTGTTTATTTAAAAATACCCCTGTAAATAATAAAAACAACAAAATCTGTAATTACTGCCAATAAAAATCAAATATTATTCGAAAGACGTTGCATAAAATTGTTCTTGCCAGTAATTAATACGTTTCGTAACGGAGTTCTTAATTAAACAATGGTTTTTTTTAGGTTATAAAAATGTCATCAATTCGTAATGTGCGTATTTTTCTTATTCAAGTAAATGTTCTTAAATGCTTTAAATACATTTTTTGTATATCTACACATTTACATTTTAATAGTACTTAAGGAAACATTCCGCGTAGTTGTAAGGTCTAACTTATTCATTTTACCATTTAATACTTTTGTGAAATAAATTTTATCAGAATACTGTTGTTTTATTACTTAAAAATTTTATTTGCCCATACTATGTAAGTCATCATCATCATCATCATCATCTCCCAACTCCCGTAGGGTCGGCGCAACAGGTTTTTGTCCTCCACATAACTCTATCATACGTCATCTCAGTCATCACTCTCTTTTTGATCATGTCACCTTTTACACAATTATTCCATCTCTTTCTAGGTCTATCTCTACCGATGTATCCTTCCACACTCATAACTAACGTTCTCCTTGTAACATGCGATTCATCCTTCCTCATAACATGCCCATACCATGCTAACCTTTTACTCCTTACTTTCTCTACTACTACTCATGCCCATACTATGTAAGTATACATCTGAATTGAGAACCTTAACCCTAATTAAGAACAATCATTTTAAATACTCAAGAAAACGTTTATTTTAGTTTATACACGCATACAAATCGCTTGATCTAGCGTTAATTATTCAATTACACTGAAGATAATCTTAGTTTAATGTCTGTGTAGACAGACTAAAAATTAATCACCGGACGGAAACATTTAAATAATTCTATTGTAACCTTTATCCGAACTTCGATCACAGATTAGATATTGCTGATGATATCATTAACACAATGAGAAAATAAGATTTATTTAAAAAGTTATAAACACATAATAAGTACCGTAAAAGAAGTATCAGATAAACCATTTGATTACATTTGTGTTAAAACAATGATAAACGAAACACCATCACATAAAATCAATTGAGAAAATATCGATTTCTTTGACTTCGAAGTAATTTTTAACTTTACTTGGCAAAACTGAAATGTGCCTATTGGAAATAACTATTTAAATAAGTTAAATTAAGATCACTATTATTAAGAGTAAAAACTTTTAATATCCTGATCAAAAACAAGTACGAAAATCAGATTTATTGCCGCCACCACAACTGTCAATGTCTCTATGTAAAATCGATTTTAAAACGAATGCCCAAACTTCAACTGAGTTTATAGAAGTATCAACATAGCGATTATAGTTATGAAAATTTAAGATTTATAATTAAATATTACCTGAAATCTCATTGAAATGCCTAAACCTGTGTGCGTACAGTGTAACACGAATGATTCTTTACTCTGGCGAAGCGCAGAGAACGGACAAATATGTAATGAATGTCATTTATCGAATACCTTGAAAAAGGAAACAAAATCAGACCCTGCATCAGCAACAGAAGATAAAGATAACGAAGGAAAGAACGGTAAAGGTGATGAGTCTACGCCCGCTAAAGCTACAGGGAAAGGTACGAGGAAGAGTACAAGAGCGACGAGGTACAAGACTAAAACTCCCGCATCGACTTCCAAAACTTCGGCGCCGCGCGGAAGAGGTCGTAGAAGTATTTTTAAACGTCCGCCATTGAAGGCTCCAACGGCCACAGCCACCGTAGTGACCAGTGATTCTATATTTTATAAGGTAACATAAAACATTTTACATTGTCCAATTCGACTAAAGGAGGTAGAAAATTAACTGTTGAAATAGGCTACTTTAATCACTAATTTATCCTACTCCCGTGGTGTCGGCGCACCGTTTTTTCGTCCTCCAAATAACTCTTATCCATCATCTCAGTCATCACTCTATTCTTGATCATGTCACCTTTCACACAATCCATCCATCTATTACAATGTTTTTGTTTGTAAACAATAATAATAATAAAACATAAAAATATTGATTTATCAGTCATTTAATGTTATTTTTTAATGTATCAATTTTTTAAGCTTACAAACTATTACAAAATACAGTAGAACCTTTTTAAGTTAAAGTCCAAGGGAAACATATAATATTTTAAGTTATAGAGGTTTTAAGTTATCAACGGTCTATGTTGTAGTGGTTTTGGGCCCTGATGGGAAGGGACATTTTATTTTTTTTATGTTATAGAGGTTTTTAAGTTACCAAGGTTTGAGTTATCAAGGTTCTTCTTCTTCTTCATCTTCTATAGCTCTACAGCCCTTTGTGGGCCTTGGGCCTTGGAAAGTCCAGCAATTTTTTCTATTTCGGCCTATCTCTGGCCACGGTCCTCCAGTAGTAGTATCAAGGTTCTACAGTAGTATAATAGTAAAAATTTATTTACAGGGCAGTTACATGCAAGTAGGAGATATAGTTTCCATGATAGATGTAGAAGGTGGCACATACTATGCTCAGATTCGTGGTTTCCTCACCGACCAGTACTGTGAGAAGAGTGCAGTTGTGACCTGGTTGCTACCAACTAGAGCTAGTCCACCTCCTGAAGAGGGTTTTGATCCAGCTACATATATTATTGGTAAGGTTATAATTCAAATTTCTCTTTTCATTTACAGGAAAGGAATTGGATATAGTTGGGATAGGAAAAAGACTTAAGAAGCTGATGGCAGGGAGTGACAAAGATATCAATGGTTTAGTAGGAGTGTTGCAGCATTGGCTGCTTACACATATATCACCATTTACTACAAAAAAAATGTATAACTTGCTTTCAATTACTGCCATGATCCTCTACTGCTACTGCTGTAGCAAAAAGCATGGCAATGTGACTAGAATATCTCGGTATGCAAAGATTGCTTCTGGAGATCACCAGTACCATAAAGGGATTGTTGGAGTTTTTCAGTAAGCTGTATTACGGATAACATAGCATCTACTGCCATAAGCTTTAAAGGTATTCTATTTTTTATAGGTCCTGAAGAAGATTTGCCACGGAAATTGGATTATATGGAATTTGTTATGCATGCCCCATCTGATTACTACAAGGATAGCACAAGCCCATACCCTCCAGCTGATTCGAAACTCAATGATTGTAGTGGGTTTATTTGGACGACATTAGAACCTAAAGAAAAATCGCAATAATAGCAATTTCTGTTAAGATTATTATAGTTATGCAATATATGACTTTTCAATGCTATGGTGTTTTTTTTTGTTTTTAACTAAATTGTGGCTTGTAAATAATGGAATGAAATACCTTTAAAAAGGGATTCTTTTATTCTTACGTTCATAGATAAGATTAAAATATTTTTTGATAACAAGACTTGGCTTAAAAGTCCGTTTACTAGGTCATAATAATCTTTAAAAAAAAACCAAAATGACAGTGACAGGTGTCAATTTGTTAGCGAAAATTAAAAAATTTCAAATTCAATAATTTAGTGGATGTCCGTCGATTGCGGATTCTTAAAGTTGTTTAGAGAATGTCTGAAAATTATGATCTATTTACGACTCGTATGAGAAAAGCAACGAGAAAAATACATTCAGTGAGTGATGCGTTAGTCAATGCAAAATTTGCTTTGTGTAAGTTTTTAATTTGTTCACTGTATAGTAATATTTTTCATCTTAAGAGTACATTTTAACATGTAGAAACCTTTTAAAATTTACTAGATTTATCTAGAATCTGAATTTTCTCGTTTTTAATAATGCTAAACGAAAATCTTCAAGGAAGTGCGACATGCAACAAAGTGCAAAGTCATATTGTGCGCGTTATACCAAAACTTTGGAAGCATACAACTGTAAAATTAAAAAGAAAACAATGATACAAATCAGGATTACTGTTAATTTTTAGAGACCTTAGTACAAACATACTCCCTAATTTTTCTATTCTGCAATTAGCAAATACTTTACAAATTTTATACTATTTATAAAATTACAGCTTTAAGAGATGAACCAGTATGGGGCGGTGGCTTGTTTGTATTCTACCACATTTTTGCATTCCTTGAAGATGCCAAAGATAGACTTAACATGCCTGATTTTAACAAGCTATTTGTTAATAAGATTTTGTACAGGTAATGTAACATACAAATACATACTTTCCATTCCAATCCATTTGTGATTTAAAAAAATATTTGTAGTACCAACATTAAAAAAAAACTCATTTCATATCTTGAGCAGATGAACATATATTGACCCTTTTCAAATTTAGGTGAATCTTGTCTGGTTACATTTGACAACCTTCAACTTAACAGGCATTGCCAGGTGGTGATTTAAAGTCTAGAAGGGTGTACCCTTGTGGTTGCGGATTATAGAATACCCAGCGGGGATACATCCCTGCTGGGTATTCCATAAACCGCATAGGCCTTATCTAGACCATATAGGTAATCACTTATCTAGATTTAGTAGCCAGCTTAGTTTATCTTACTTAATATGTGTTGAATATTCTCATTTTAGGAAGAAAGCTTTTGAAGAGGATCTAGCACATTATTTAGGTGAAGACTGGCAATCAACACCAAAGTCAGCAGCTCTAGAGAATTATATTGAGCATTTGCAGGACCTTGAGACTGAACATCCAACAATGCTATTGGCATATGTGTACCATTTGTACTTAGGTTTGCTGAGCGGAGGACAGATACTGGCTAAGAAGAGGAAAATGTTTGGTGAAAGTAAATATTTATTATTATTACTAGCTCTTGGTCCATGTGGAATTAAAAAAAAAACAAAAGAAAACAGTCTATTTGTTTTTGTAGACTGTTCTCTACATCTATGCCAAATTTCATCCAGATTTGGCCAGCCAACAAGCTCTAACAAACATCCATCCAAACTTTTACATTTGTATATTAGTAAGATGATAATGCACTATCTTTTTTTTCCTTTTCTTGGCTTTCATGCACTATCTTTCTAGATAAATAAGCAATTGGTTTACTTTTGTATGTGACTATTATCCATAAATATTTAAAACTGGCAACATATCTGTCTTTGTGTTGTGAATCTATGGTCTATGGTCATCAATTTTTTTACTATTGGTAGCTCACTGTGTTTAAGCCCAGGTAGCATAAAATAGTAGACTATAAGGATTTTAATAAAGTAGACAAAAATTGCAATAGTTCATTTATAACCCTCAATTCTCAAAATGCACAATAGTAATCTAAAGTAATTGACGGCTCTGAGTGTTGCCAACCGCCTTTATTGGCAACCCTTTTGTAGCCTACTATTCATGTATCTTTTGATGTAGGATAGAAAGTTAAAAAAGCAAAGAGGAACTAAGTATGAAATGTAGATATTTAATTATTTTTTTTCAGAAAATGCACCAGAGAATGTTTACACAGACAAAGTGACTGATTTCAACGATGTAGACATTAATGAACTGAAAAAAGAATTCCGTAATGCAATGAATGAGATTGCTGAACGAATGTCTAAGAATGAACAGGACACATTTATAGAAGAAAGCAACCAAGTTTTCCTGATGAATAATTTAATAGTCAATTCTGTTGGAGGACAGAACAGAGTACTATGTAATATGTTCTACAAGGCATCTGCACTTTTATTAGTCGTTATTGGAGTTATTTACGCGTACAAAATGCACAAATAGTTTATTTTTCTTTGTAAACTTTTGACTGTTAGAGTTTCATATACTCATTTGTAATAGAAATGTGATTTATTTAAAAACTTATAGGATAAGTAATGTTAATTTGACATGCTTTCAATTTATATTGCTAAGCAATTTTAAATAATTTAATAAAAGGTTCCATAAAATTTTGATGTTTTATTATAACAAAACATAAACAACATAAACCTTTTTAAAAGTGTTTCCATCACAAAAAGATGTAAGTATTATTAAATATAATAAAGTATAAAACGCCTTTCTGTTTTGTATCATTTAAATAAAGCGAATACTGAATCACGTAGGTAGCCAGCCACAAAAACTCAAACCGTCATTTACAATCCTGCTTACCCGCTTAACTATATTATAAATCATAGACTGTTGTGAATAAGTACTACGTATCTAGCAACATTTAACTGTCAAAGTCAAACCAGTTGTCAAATTTGGCTCATGTCGCCGCCAAAATGGCGAACCGGACAGTAAAAGATGCAAAATCAATTCGTGGTACAAATCCTCAATATCTCGTGGAAAAGATAATACGATCTCGCATATACGATTGTAAATACTGGAAGGAAGAATGCTTCGCGTTAACAGCCGAGTTACTTGTCGACAAGGCGATGGAATTGCGTTATGTCGGTGGTGTTCACGGCGGCTTCATTTATCCAACACCATTTTTGTGTTTAGTTTTAAAAATGTTACAGATACAACCTGAAAAAGACATTGTAGTGGAATTTATAAAGAACGAAGAGTTTAAATATGTGCGTGCGTTAGGCGCCTTTTATATGAGGCTCACAGGAACTTCTGTTGATTGTTACAAGTATTTAGAGCCGCTTTATAACGATAACAGAAAACTGAGGCGTCAAAATCGTCAGGGACAGTTCGAGATAGTTCATATGGACGAGTTTATTGATGAATTACTAAGGGAAGAGCGGTTATGTGATGTTATTTTGCCAAGGATACAGAAAAGGCATATATTGGAGGAGAATAATGAATTAGAACCTAAAGTATCTGCCTTGGATGATGATCTGGATGAAGATATGCCATCAGAGGAAGAAAATATTGATATAGAAGCCAAAGAAAACAGAAGGGAAAAGGATAAACGGGATAAAGATAGGCGCAGAGACAGGTAAATACAATCTATTATCAATTGTACATCTTCTTCTTGACTTAAATAATTTTATTATAATACAGATTGTTTAAATTTAATATGACCTATTTATTATTCCAGATCGAGGGATAGAGACCGAAGGGACAAAGATCGTAAACGTGAACGATCAAGAAGTAGGGATCGCGATCGTAGACGGGAAAGAGAAAAGGAGAGGGAAAGAGAGAAGGAGCGAGAAAAAGAAAGGGAGAAAGAAAGAGAACGAGAAAGGGAAAAGGATAGAGATCGTTTACGAGAGCGTGAGAGGGAGAGAGAAAAGGATAGAAGAGACAGAGATAGACATGAAGGAGACAGAAGACGAGGTGGCAGATATTAGTAATTTAAGCTATTAAATGATATGATTTTACATGCTATAGTTTTATTAAAAAGGTGTAAATGTTGAAAAAGCTGACAGTGGTAGTGCCCACTTTAACATCTTAACACGAATGGGCCGGCACACCCAGTGTAATACCACAACCACACAGAAGACATGCGTGAAATGGAAGCAATAACGTGTTTCGTCTGATGAGTATGGTGCCGGAGGCCTAATTTAAGTCCCTTTCTCTTTACCATCCTTTTCTTATAAGGAGAGGTTGGGAAGGGGAAGTGGATTTGATGGTGGAGGAGATGCATAAGAAGGGGAATTATCCTCTTTATGTGCGTCTCCTCCGTCGTATAAGGGTAGGCAACGCATCTGCAATTGCGGATGTCTATGGGCAGCGGTCGCTTCATCATTTTGGCGGATTCTAGTGTCCGCCTGCTCGTTTGCCACCTTATGTTATAAAAAAAAAGCACAAAATAAAAGAATCAATCCATATTTTCAACATTTTAATATAAAAATATTTACTACAATATCATTAATAATTTCAATAATTCACTATTTTATTTGATAGCATAAATTAAGTGAAAACTGCTTTACTCTCGAAATCGATCGAAAAAATATTATTTAATCACTAAGGGAAATCCTAAATGAGAAGTGACAAAGTTTGTGACTTAATAAGTAAGTCTACAAGGTTTTATATCGACGAAATAAGTTCTGGGGGTAATTGAAAATATTCTATCAGCAGGCCATTTAAACCATCAACACTTACGAATAATATACAATTACATGGTTGAGAATTACTTAATTACATATAATCACTTGAGGAAACAAAAATGGAATAGTAATTTAAATCATTTGTAAAACATTACCTACAGTAAATTGTAGTCAATGCAGATTTATCTATGAAATTTTTTTATCCCAATGTTTTGGATCCATTTCTATTCTATTTCTGTTGTTTGCTTCCGCAAAATCTGCTTTACTGTAGGCATAAAAACTATAAACTAGCATTTCCTAATATTTTTCTATCTACAAAATCGATTTTTTTTAATACATTACATAAAAAAAATTATACAGATTCATTGACAATTTTATACAAAAATATTTTTTAAACATATTTTCATTAGAATTTGGTGTTGAATAATTGTTGTTTTATTTTCTATTTATCAAATAACCCTGTTATTAGCTATCTACATTCAACAAAGATCAACTTGTAACAATTTTGAAAACAGGAACATATATACAATACTAGCATTTGCCTGCGACTCCACTTCTAATGATTAAAAACGAAACATAAGTGTATTATTCCAGACTATTCTCTACATCTATGCCAATTTTTATCAAGATTCATTAATATGATGTTCATAAGATACGGCTTTCTTACCACAATTGAATTGTATGTAATTTTCGTAAGAAACTCGTATCTTACGAACATTTGTAAAAACCACGACAGTTTAAAGATTCATTAAGAATTTTTGGCTATGAACAATTAACAATACATACATACATCCATCTACAATTTCACATTTATATTAGTAAGATAAGGTTATGAAACACTCAACTAGCTATCGGACAAATACTGAATATTTATATATCAAGGCCACAATTAAATTCTAAATTCCATTACAATTTTGACATCTGACAGAAGAGGCAACATATTCAAAAATCGTTTCAGAATTCGGCTGTTTGCTTAAATGTTTTATGGCTATTAAAAGTTATTGCATTACTAATTCAATCAGAATTTAAAATATTGTCCATTTTGAGCAACATTTTCATGATTCAAATTGTACTTTTAACAATCATAAAGCCGCATCTATAAAACAACATTTAATTAGTCTACACAATTCATTACTGTACAATCAATAATAACTTTGATCTTTAAAACTATAAAAAAAAATCACTGACAATAAATACTTTATAGGCGTAAAAAACACATTTATTATATAAATGGGTGAAAGACTTTGTTTTAAGCGTCATTAGGTTAAATGTTCAGGAGAGCCATTTGAAGTTTTTAGAAAAAACTATAAAAACTTATTTTTACAATAATTTAAATTGAAAGATTTTCAGACGGGTTTTAGATTAAAATTACTATAATTCTGCATACTTCATTGTTTATTAACGACGCAAAAATCACCTATTCTGGATATATTACATGTAAGTCGTTATATCCTAAAATGGCGGTTGAAACAAAAGCCTTTCATCCGTAGATATAAAATCCATTTTTATTTAATAGATAATTTAGCCGTGTAATTAAAAGTTGAATTTAAATCCACAAATTCAAAGAATAAGAGACATTCCAGGGCTATTTTCATTATTTTTTTTTAGATTTACAATATTGTCTATGACTAACTGCAAATGCTTATATAAATATAACTCGACACACTTATTCATACGAGTTTTGTATTGCATTTAACGTAATTCTAAAACCGATGGATTATTCCCAACCGTCACCCCGCTCTGTCCCTACGTGGGAACACATGAGAATATAAGTTTCATCCGTTTCACCTTTTGCGAAGGGACGGTTGGACTTATTTTATTTCATAACGGTTCCATCTGTCACTGTATTGATGATAGTGGGACTAAAAGGTGAGACGGGTGAAACTTTTACTCTTAAGCGGTGACAGAGCGGAGTGACGGTTGGGAATAATCCTAACCGACCAGCCCCCGACAAAGTAACATTCAATTATTGCTATCACTGAAAAGTAAATAATATATGGAAGTGACAATAACATTCTATACATACTTGTCACATATTCATTTCTATGGTTTATGACACATTTTGTTGATTCTACTAGCAATATTTAATCGAAAATCACTTTATCTAGGGGAACTTTCACTAAGACACTAAAGGCCTGTCCCACCACTGCATGATAGAGGCAGATGGCTTAAAAATGACGTCACTGTCAGATAAGGTAATAAATCCGATCTTGATTGTTATCAGACAATTTACAATTTGGTGGGAGAGGCCCCAAAATTTTCACTTTTGTAATTTCATCGGGCAAGTCCAGCATTTCACTTGTTAAATTCACTTTATATCACTTTCACGTATTCACATTATTTCTTGAATGTATTCACGATTCCTCGACACTAGAATTACGTGTTATGGAGTTTTTAATCATGTCACCGAAGGTAACACTCAACTTTTGCTAGAAAGTCGGTGCGTTCATAATGAATATTCTGTTCTCTTCTTTTTTAATCCATTGTAACAGATGATCTACTGCTTTCTTTGTTTGTTCCTTTTCGACTAACGCATCGAATGTTACGTATAGTTCAAATCCATTGGTAATCTGTAATGTTGAATTGTAAAAGTTCAGTTTTTTAGAGTAATTTGAATGAATTCTAATCTAAAACTACGGCTAGATTTGAAAAGACTAGCTAAACCTGTGACGTCTTTATTTTAAAAGCAACAATAAAATCTATTAATTAGATTTAAATTAACTAGATTAATCTAGTCGAAAGTAGTGCAATTTAGTTTCCGATGGCTGTACAGTTTACATAAATACAAATTTTTCCTCTTTATAATATTTGGCCTAATTTAAGTCCCTTTCTCTTTACCACCCTTTTCTTATAAAGAGAGGATGGGAAGGGAAAGTGGATTTGACGGTGGAAATACATAGGAAGGGGAAATATCCTCTTTGTGTGTCTCCTCTGTCAGATAAGGGTAGGCAACGCATCTGCAATTGCGGATGTCTATGTGCAGCGGTCGCTTCGCTATTTTGGCAGATTCAGGTGGCCGCTTGCTCGTTTGCCACCTTATGTTATAAAAAAAAAATTATGGACTCCCAAGCTTAGATGAAAGTTGGCTAGAGTTTGTAGCCTAAACAGCTGAACGGATTTTGTATGAAATTTGGTATAGACATAGAAAATAGTCTGGAAGAACACATAGGCTACTTACTTTTATTTTTTTAGTACCACGCGGATGGAGTCGCGAGCAAAAGCTAGTACAGAATAATATTTAAAGACCAATAAAAACAAATTACACTTACCCATGCTAAAATAGTATTTTCAGAGTTAGATCTAAATATAAATTTAGCGGGAACAGTTGCACAATGTATTTGATTACAGAACTTTCTATAATTCCTTACATAATCTATATCGGAGAGCTTTTCTATCTTCTTAATACAAATATCCCCACCTTCTTTATGCATAATTCTATAATCTTGCAATCTATCCAAACTTATTGGGTCCGAGGTAAAAAGTTGAGCCGTTGATTTGCATTTGTACATAAAATGCCTTATAATTGGTATACCAATATGTTTCAAAGGGTTCGTTGTTGGTAAATCTTTACTCCTGTTTAATGCATCATTTATCGCTCCTATGCACTTCGTTTTCTCTAATTTTTCAGCGATTGTGTGCTTAGCTTGTGATAGAGGGTAGAATGCGTCTCTTTGTACTGTAAGTAGAAGTAAGCAAGCTTGACAGTCTTCGGAGATATAGGACACATGACCATGTAGGAATCCGCTGGAATATTTTTATAAATATAAAGTAAATTCATAAATATTTCAAGCGATTAGAGATACATTTTACAATTGCTTGTAAAAAACTTTTACACCAGTAGTAGCTTTAACAGTGGTAGGACCCGCTTTAACCTGCGCACTGTAGGGCCGGCTCGCCCAGTGTAATACCACGACCACACAGAAAACAGGCGTGAAGTGGAAGCAATTCCACGTTTTGTCTGATAAGTTTGGTGCTGGAGGCCTTATTTTACTCTCTTTCCCTTACCACCCCTTCAAGAGGAAAGGATGGGAAGAAAAGGTGGATATGACGGTGGAGGAGATGCATAAGAAGGGGAAATGTCTTCTTTATGTGCGTCTCCTCATTCGTCAATTGAGGCAACGCATCTGCAATTGCGGATTTTTATGGGCAGAGGTCAATTTCCATTTCGGTGGATTCAGGTGGCCGCTTACTCGTTTGACACCTTATATTATAAAAAAAACAATATTTACGTCCATATTCTGAAACGTTTAGCTTTGTAAGTGCCAATAGCAATTAATGATCAAAATTTTAATGGAATCTACAGTTCAAAGTGGCAATAAGACACCGTTAAATATTAAATGTTGTTTCAGTAATCAGAATGGCTTTCATTTTATTTGATGCCTTTGCTTTAAAAAAATAAATAAATAGAGAACGGTTGTTTATGTAGTCTTTTGTCACATTTATAAGTGAAGTAGCTTTCGACCGCGACTCCGTCCGCGTGGAATTAAAAAAACAAAAGTAAGTAGCATATATGTTCTTCCAGACTATCCTCTACATCTATACCAAATTTCATCAAAATCCGTTCAGCCGTTTAGGCTACAATCTCTAACATACATCCATCTAAACTTTCGCATTTATAATATTAGTATGATTTAAAAACTTACGTAGCGTCAAACTTAGGTAGACAGACAGGAGTCCAACTTTCCGCTGTCTTAAAAGATTCAGAACTCCTTACTAAGTTAAACAGCAAATGTATATCAGAGGGATGCAATGTGTACTTCTTCATCCTAACTAAAGTAATCAATTGATTTCCAGCTATAAGTATTGCAAATACTAAATCTCTTATTTTATTGCATGTCGATATTATCGCATTTGTGATGTTTTCTCTTGCTTTTTCAGGTAATGGAAGACATCTCACAGCACCAAGTAAGAACGCTGGGTCTTTTTCCATAAATATTAACAAATTATCAATCAATCTTTCTGCTCCCGCTAAAAGTCTTCGCAAATCATAATTCCTTCTTTGCTCAAATATTCTATTAAGTTGTGTTAATGTTAGAACTGATACTATTTGATTGAATGCATATCTGAAATGTATTATGTAGCTATTAACATTGTTATTAATACTATGTTTAGAGGATTATACTTTGATTGCTCCTACATTGACTATACTATGACAAAATTTTGTATTTAACACCTTGGTTTATGTTTTTTAAATTTAACTTAAATACTTCATACATGTTTAATGTGTTATCAAGAAGAATAAATGTAGAATTTGATTGTTTATTCTATACTAGCTTTCAACCGTGACTCCGTCCAAGTGGAATTGAGAAAAACAAAAGTGAATAGCCTATGTATTCTTCCAGATTATCTTCTATATCTGTGCCAAATTTCATCGTAATCCGTTCAGCCATCTAGGCTATAAACTGTAACAAACATCCATCCATCCGTCTAATTTTTCACATTTGTAATATTTTATTGTTTATTCTATATTAAATATATTTTGTACTGCAAAATTGGCGTTTCACACTTATATTAGTACAGAGATTCTGAGACTTTTTATTAATAAATTACTTACGTTAATTGCATTACCAATTGTGTTTCACTTTCGTTAGATTTGGAAACAGCTACCAGTATTAGCGGACCCTTCACTAAGAACACTGCTTTACAGTCTTTCGTGCAGATGGATCTCAAGATATCTTGGTCGTGATCTTCGACCACACTTACTAGAGCTTGTATAACTCCACACAAACCAGCCAATTTGTCTTCATTACCATATCTGGAATTGTAAACACATTATTAATAAGGGTTATTTATTACCATCCTTTTACTTTCCTTTGGTTAAGAAAACAATAATAGTATTATATTTTTCAGACATGTTCTAGTTTATAGGAACTTTAAAAGGGTAATAAAGATATTCAAAAAACATGATTTAATATATATATACTATCATATCATCCCTTGTACCTAGAAAGGGCAGGCACAGTATGTACTCTTCCATACATCTCTATCAGCCATCACATCTGCCACTCTTCTCACTCTCTTCCACACAAGTCAAAAATAGTTATTTCTTCCTCTACCTTTGTAGTTGTCCACATTAAATCTGACATAACTTAAATATATTATCTATGGAGAAACAACAGGTTGCAGTTACCAGACAAATGTCAGGTTAAATTAGAAGTAAGATATATAAAAGACTAGTTGTTGTCTGTAATTTCCTCTTTGCGAAGTTAAAAAAAATATAAGCCACATTCTTTACTCTATGTTATACATCTATGCCAAATTACAGCAATAGGTTTAAGCAATTTGAAGGAACATTGTACCAAACAATCCATCCATCCATACAAACTTTGGTTATAACAGTAGTGATATACCTTGAATATATTGGTTTTCCTGCCGAACTCAATATAAACACATGCTTTTCTTTATTTACCAGCTCTGGTGATTGTAAATATTCATCCTTATCTGTGTCAATGTCATCTCCATTTTGTTCTGTTACATTTGAACTACTTGGTGAAGCTGCCATGCCTTCCTGAAAATAGGATTGTAGGTTTTAGTATGGCTACACATAACTTCATTGACCCAAAAGGGGTGTCTCAGGGGTTAAGCATTTTACTTGTAATCTGCAGGGTCTGGGTTTGAATATAATTTTTATGTTTGTTAAGATAGTGCATGACCATGATCCCACCCGAAGAAAGTGGTGAAGCAGTTGAAAGATTATGTGCTAGCTTAAAAAGTAACTGTGCATCAGCATGTACCAAGGTGTTTTTTGAATTGGCTATGTACATTTACTAAATATTACTGTGAAGGAAAATATTATGATGACTGCAAATATAGAGGATATTCAAAGATATGTGTGAAATGAATTTGCAATGGGCCAGAATTTTGGATTAAAGCCTATTCATCTCTAACTTGGGAAGGTTACGGGATCTTCAGTAGGGACGTATAGCGAGCTGACGATGAATACAAGTACTCCAACAGTTTTGTCCCTGAAAATTGTAGAAATAAATAAAAATAAAGGAGTAACACTTACTTTCAAATCGTCACTTGATTTAGCTGTTTTCATGTCTTTTGAAGGTTCACCAATTTCGCTTTGTATTTCACTGATTGTACTACTCTTAGTAGTAAGTGTGGCGTGCCTCTGTTCAGGGTTTGTACTCATTTCTGTCTCAATTTCTTCAAAAGAATCAGTCGGGTTGAGAATACTTTCTGGGCAAGCGCCTGGCTCCAAATCGTCATCGATATTTTCCTGATGAGTAAGATTACTTGGTACAGAATCTTTAGAGGTTGATGCCATTTTGAAATGTTATAAGTTTATCTATTTTATGCAAGGAGATAATATATAATAAAAAATCACTGCACTGCATTAGTAGTTCCAGAAACGCCACAAACGTCAATCTGACAACTGACAAATAAGGAGAATGACACTGACATTTTTGACTTTTTTAAAGATTTTTGTCCTGATTACTAAATTTTTAAGTCAGATATTTTTGACATTTATTTTGAGATGATTTGAATTCTCGCCGTACCACATCCTATTTTTACTATAGCAAAAAAATCAATAAAAACCAACCTTTCTTACATATGGAGACAAATGTACAGAGGATAATGTAGTTGCGTTAAGTAACGACACCAACTCTCTTGGACATCCATAAAATTAAGGAACTAGTCAATATGTAAAGCTTTGAATATATTTTGTGTTAAAAATCGTTGTTGCTATCGTATAATAATGATAAGTTAAAATACCTTGCACTACATTTTTTTTTAAATAATACTCTTGATTTATAATAACGTAAGTCTTTTTGTTGGCTCACAGGGAACTGAATTAGGTCGATTGCATTGTGCCACTACTTTTTTAATCCGATTGTTGAGTAGACGTTGAAAATTTAATCCGATGAAGCATTTTATAGTTTTTATGCAAGAGTTATTTGTTTTATAACATTGCACGGAATATTTTTGTCTTGGGACGTTATTATTTTGGGATAAGAGGGTAAGTCTGTTATTTTAATATCCTAAAAGATAACACTTCATAATTTTATAATGATACCAAAAATTCAAGGGAAATTGATGCTTTAAAACCGCAGTATGAGGTACTGTATTTAAAAATAAATGTATACATTTATATTTATTTAGGTTTTATAAAACGCCCATCTCTTCTCGAAATAGTAATCGACAGATATACAATAACAAATACATAAAAAAATGATAATTTACCCCTGATGGGACTCGAACCCACAATCCCCGGCTTAGGAGGCCGATGCCTTATCCATTAGGCCACAGGGGCTTGATATACGCGTCGTAAAAATTCCTTGAATTGACATTTAGTTAGCTGTATTTAAAAAATCTTTTAATTTTGTAGGTTATAAAAGTTTTTTTTAAACTGTAGCACGAGCCACTCAAATACGTTTAGTTACGAAAAAAGGTTTACATTACTGTAAATTCGTGTTCAAATTGCCTGATTTGTACATCATTGCAGATGTCTATTTTATTAGGCCATTCGTTTTGTACAGTATCTTTCTAAACAGTCGAAGAGACAAATCTGCGGACGTGATGCTTTTATGTTATTGCCGTTGAGGAAGAGGTATGTTTAATGTATTAGTTGATACATTCATGCGTACTCGCCTTTAGGAATACGTAAAATATGTAATACGCAAAATAAATAAACGAAAAAGTAGTCGAATCTGTAAGCCGGATCATCTGTCAGAAAGAGTACCGGCGTTACTGTAGGGGAAGTGTAATCGTCCAGGGCGCGGGACATATAGGGACGCCACAAGCTCATAAAGGGGCGCTATTTTACGTGCTTGGTATTGCAGTTAGGGGCACAGTAGAAACCTCGCCCAGGGCGCCGTTAATACATCCACCATCTTTGTCCAGAGGGGTACATTATTATGATAGATTTGATTAACAAAAGATTTTAAAATATCTTTGTTATAAACAATTTTTTTCTAAGAGAACTGTCGTCAGTTTATTCTACGTAAAACAGCGATATTTATTCAAATTGAAGACGCCATAAAAATATTTATAGAAATTTGAAATTCATTTATTCAAATAAGGCGATTGGTGAAAGGTAGTTTAAAATAGTTTATGCATTCTGCAAGTTGAGAGATCTGTAAAAATGAAGAGCATTCTGTCAGTTGTTACATACAAAATTTTCTATCTCTATCTTTACAAAGCGAATGAAAGGAACAACAATATGAGTTACCGGCAAACCGCGAATCCCGTTTCTAATTTGACTACGCAATGTAGATACTTAATAATGATATTGTGTTCATGTGTGTATCAGATTTCAAACGATATTTACTAAATTGGTCGCAGTTTAGATGTATAAAATTCTTTAGGGTACTATCTAGTATCTAAGAGATGTTTTTGTTAATTTAATATTACGTTGGAGTGATGTTTCTAACAGCATTCGTGCTCAGTAATACAGTTTGTCCGAAAACGACCACATCTTATTTAAACAAACGGTACGTTGGGGAATAAATGCATCCAAAATGTGTTCCCTGGGAATAAATTAATTCGATTGCATATTTGAATATTTTTTTTATGAACTATAGAGCGTTTATAAATTGTTATATTGAGTTTTAAATGTTTTTTTTATTCACTAGATGGTGACATGATCAAGAAGGGAGTGATGACTGAGATGAGTGATGATAGAGTTATTTGGACGAGCCGGTGCGCCGACGTTCCTGGAGTAGGATAAGGTAGGAGAGATGATTTTTCACTAAAAATTTAAACTTTAATTAAACCTAATCTATGTTCAATGAATTCTTTTGTTTTATGCAAAACATTCTGTTCGTGAAACAATTTTCTGCAAACTATTATTCAAGACGAAAGCTTGAAAAAGTTAGCAACGCCGTTAAAAAACCGCACGCGCTTGAATTACTTTGAAACGAAACCGGCGGTAATTGATTTTCTTGCTGGAAAGGCATTTGAAAATGAAACCTGATATTTTAAAGAGAAAACATTTTTCTCAAAAAACTACACTAAGTTGTTCAAGTTATATTCAGACTAGATTTCGTCCACGACTCCGTCCGCGAGGAATTAAAAAGAGTAAGTAGCCTATTTATTGTTTAAGACTATCCACATCTATGCCAAGTTTCATCGGAATCCGTTCTGCATTTTATGATATAAACTCTCACAAACATCTATTCATCTAAACTTTCACATTTATAATATTACTAGCTTTCGCCCGCGACTCCGTCCGCGTAGAATTAAATAAAAACTGAGTAGCTTACATGTTCTTCCAGACTGTCCTCTACGTCTATGGAAAATTTCATCGAAATCCGTTCAGTAGTTGAGGATGAAAACTCTCACAAACATATTAAACTTCCGCATTAATAATAAGTATAATTTCGAAATTAAAGACGAAAATAAATGCGAATCTTTGAACATAAATTGATAAAAGAAACACTACAGCCAAAATGCGTTTATTCCGTAATTAAAAACATATAAAAAAAAACTGCATATATGTCAGTGTTAATACCATCCAAGTCTACTCTTTGGTTAACAAAAGAAAAAAACACCTTTCCGTAATAATATTTACCTTCCTCATTAACCCAAACAATAAGAGCGTAGAAGTTAAAACTTCTTTAGATTTTGTTCGGTATCCGATCTGTTCTCTCGGGCAATATTAATAATGAAAATGCTTCCACTAAAAACATCTTTTAGTTTTCTTGAGTATTTAAAAAATGTTAAAACAGTTTTTTTCTAAGTTTGTTGTAAAAAACATTTTACTTTAGTTATGTAAAATTAACGAGTACACTAGCCTTTCTTTTGAAGCCTAGGTTATGAAAAACTTGGTAAATTAGTGCACGTAACGTATTTTAACTAATCTATACTACTCGTAATACTAGCTGTTCCCGTCCGGTTTCATCCGCATGAAATTGTGAAAATGTTATTTTATTGTTTACATTTGTCAAATTATCAATAGCAAATGTCAAAATGACATGACATGACATGACAAATCTTGACAGTCTTGCTTCCTTGATGTTGGCAGCAACTTATGGTCTCTTTCCCACATTAGGGTTTTATACAATATATTTACGCCCTAAGTTTAATGGCGTGAAAATATATAGCCTAAAGCGTGACGCAAGTTTAGGGCTTTTAATTTAAGAAAGAATTATTCAAAAACATGCTGTAATTGGTGACATCTTAGGCAACAAAGAAGTGTGTGTTTACGCTTTATTATAACAGTATAGATATAGACAATAAATCGTAACACACTACTTTGTGGCGTAGGATAGGATGTCAGGAATCATAGCATATTTTTGAATAACCCTTTAATAAAAGCCCAACACTTACGACACGCTTTAGGCTATACATTTTACGCTATAATATATAAATTAATATAAAATATAGCCTGTGTTACTCACAGTTAAATTACCTTTAGAACGGTGAAAGAATTTTTAAAATCGGCCCAATTTTGCGTGAATCATATACATATAAAAATGCAAAAATACGAATATTTCCTCTTCATAATATTAAAATAGAAAACTGCTTTATTTTTATTTCAATTTACTAGTTACGTCACTTTACTTAGAGGAAAGTTTTCTTTTACTTTCTCAATGTATTATAGTCTCCTTGAGTGTAAACTTTCGAGGACAAATTCTGTGGAATAGAAAGGGATAAGGTATGCTTGCCACTTTGTCTACTGTTAGTTGACATAAAAGAGTCACGTACTGGAAATTTGTCCCTCAGAAAGTGCTTATAGGATTTGCGCAATCTAAAACTCGAGGACAACAATTATGTGTGTCGGGTAAGTATCTCGGGTGTAATCGAGTTGAATTTTCACTGAATCGAAACGAATGAAGAATAGATGAATACGCATTGTATTATGTGAAATTGGTTTTATTGAAATGTAATAATTACTAGCTGTTCCCATGCGACTTCATCCACATGTAATAAGGATTTTTTTTTATTGCGTACATCTGTCAAATTATCAATTACAAATGTCAAATGACATGACATGATGACAATCTTGCTTCCTTGATGTTGGCAGCAACTTATGGTCCCTTTGTCACATTAGGGTTTTTATCCAAAATAATTACCCACTAAGTTTAATGGCGTGAAATATACAGCCTAAAGCGTGACGTAAGTGTAGGGCTTTTTATTAAAAAAATAATTATAAAAACTATGCTGTAATTGCTGACATCTTAGGCAACAAAGAAGTGTGTGTTTACGCTTTATTATAATAGTACAGATTACACTACTAGTTTGAACGTGATTCCGTCCGCGTGGATTTTTTTATCTAGTAATTTTAACAAACTGTCTACCAAGGGATTGTTACCACATTCGTTGATTACTTAAGTTACGAGTGTGTACTTTTATAGCTATACAGTTGAAATGACCCTAAATTTCGTCGCGCGATTTTGAGCTAAACTATTTAACCACGT